CAGGGAGCTGCCATTGGAAGATGTAGGTGCAATTGAGGTGGAAAATACTAATCAAGGAGAATTAAATCCTAATGTAAATGTAACTTAATTATGTGTATATGTGTGCTAAATGACATTTAACAGAGAAAACCAGAGGAGGAAAAGAAGCAACTTACAACACCTCATTTAAAACCCATTAGTGGTATTTATTTATTTTTTTTCCTTTATTTTATTAATTACTATCATTAGCTTCTAGTATATTGTCACTTGATACAAAATTTGCTATTTTTAAGGCACAACTAAAGAAAGAAAAAGAGGTCAATGAGCAATTAGATGACAAATTTAAAAGTTTGTGTCAAACAGAAGCAAAATTAATATTTATTTTTGATTTATGTTATAGAGATGAAAAATAAGTACCGGTATGTGGTATCAACTAATACTAGTTCAGGTTCGAATAATAATAAGTTCTTATAATTAAATTGTATAATAGCATTGAACAAGACTTTAGGAGCAATGAGGATGGAGATAGAAGACTTGATATTGTATTTAACGTCAAATAAAACTGGTATTAAAATCATGATGTATGTATCACTGTACTGTAAGTCCTATAATAGATTCACAGGATCAGAATGCAGCATTGGCAGAGAATAAAAAAGAGATAGAGCATTTACAAGAACAGATTTCATTAATGAAAAGGAAAATCAGAAAAGGTTAACATAGTTAGTATTCTATACACAAAAGTTATATCATATAGTCCATATTACCGTATACGCCATATATTTTGTGGGGATTAAATTTCACAATTTTTGCATTTTGGAAAAAATCACGAAATTAAAATCCACAAAATAGCATGCTGATTGTATAGTTGGTGTGGTAAACCAGGGATATACTACACGGAACAGGGATTGGAAACGGGATCACGTGATGCACATAATTTGAAACACTCCGCGTTATAATCATAAGCGAGCGAGGCATGTAGTGAAGCGCCAATAACTGCGGCTGATAAATTGATAATTGAGCTATGGCCAGATGCATAGGTAAGATCTATTGACATATTATATAGGCGGTAGCCTATATGTAGGATTGAGATTGATTTTTCAAGATGGCGGCCGTTTTTATGATTTTTCAAACACTTATAACTCTTTTATTTTACGTTGTACAGCCTTATAAATGGCTTAGATGAGCTCTCCTTCACTGAGCGATTCTCCTGGTACCTTTAAAGTGAACTGTAATGTAGCGGGAGCATTTCTGGAAAACAGGCCCAAATTCAAATTTCTGCAAAATTCTTCAGACTTTTTCTTCTTCTTCTTCTTCTTCTTCTTCTTCTTCTTTCATCTTCTTCTATGCACCGGATAATCTTTTAATCCAGAGAACTGCCCAAGTTGCCTTTTACATCATTCTTCTGGGCTTGGGTCAAGGACCACAAAGGTAGTTTCAAAAAGAAGCGAGGACAGAGACCAAAATGGAAGACAAAATCCAGCTGCAGTCACCGCGTGGGTTTGTGGTTTGACGCCATTTTAATTTATGCGCACGTGATTAGCATGAATATAATTAACCTAACCACAGAATGTAATTTATTAATTTAAGAAAAAAGAATGGAAACAAGTAAATAAAAAACATTAAAAATGGAAAAATAGTAGGATTGAGTGGGGAAAAAAGTAAGGAAACAAGAGGGTACTTGCAAACTGGTGTGGTAAGAAATCCTACACCACTGCAATGAAGATTACTACCCAAAAGCACAGCAATTATCCTGACAGCCAACTATGATAGCACTATATGAAGCCT